ATATTTTTTTTTGCTTAAAATTACCATAAAAGAAAAAATTTTTAACAAAACAAATATGATCAGAAGAGAGTTTTTAGTATTTCATATATTTTAAAAATTTTTTATAGTTAGAAATTTTCAAAGATCTCTATTAAAAAAATTTCTTAGTATAGTAAATATATTTCTCAAGCTTTATAAGAACTTTAAATTTACTATAAATAAATATTTTTGTTGAAGGCAAATAAATAAATTAATATTTTGATTTATAAATGTTGATATATAATTCTTTTCATCAATTAAATGTTCATAGTAATTCTTTAAAATATATCAAGAAATTTTTGAAAAATTTTGCCTATTTTAGTTTAATTTTGAATTTTTTGTTGCATCAGAATTTTTAGTTAATAATTGGTTAAGATTTTGAATTGTCTAATTAATATATAACAGAAAGGTAAACAAAATATATACTCTTTACATGTTTTTGTCATACAACATAACAATAATAATATAATAGAGAAAAGCAAAAAAACAAGATATTATAGTGTTTTCTTAAATAGAAGTAGTTTAGTATTTCCCTTCTCCTCTTTTGAACTAGTTTTTTTTCTTTTCAAAATTAAAAAAAGTCTTATTTCAATTTAATAACAAGCTTTTTCTATTAATAATTATCTTGAAAAAGCATTAAGTATTTATATTATAAGATTTTATAAACAATAATTTCTACTATAAGTCTTATTTTAAGTATTTTGATGGAAGGAGCAAGAGAGGCAGGAAAAGAATTCTGGATGCTTAGCCAAGACATCAGCAAGGCCTACAACTCAATAGAACATACAATACTCAACAAAGCAATAAACCACATCAAAATTTCACATTCTATCCAAAAGATAATTATGAGTTGCATTACAAGACAAATCACTCAAGTAATCACACAGCACAGGCTTACTGAATTCTTCCAGATTGAACAAGGAATAGATTAAAGTGACACAATATCTTCCCTTTTCTGATGTATCTACTACAACCCACTCATCACAAGGATAAAAAAATCAAAGTTGAACTACAAAATAGATTCTAAAACACCTATCACATGTTTCGAACAATAAAACAGATACACAATACACATATCATCAGTCTCATATATAGATGACACAACATGGTTCACAAACTCAAAGAAAAATAAGCAGAAAATCACAGACCTAGTAGAAAGCTATGCGAACATCGCAGGCTTAAGGATCAAACCCAACAAATCAATACTATTGACCATTAACAATACTCAATGCCCCACTATCCAATTCCAAGCAAAACCAATCTCAGCACAGAGCAAAGAAACAGCAATCAGAATCTTGGGCATATGGATAACAAGTTCAGGATCCAGAAGATACCAAAAACAACTAATAAAGGACAAAATATCGTTTATGATGAGACAACTACAATTCAAAAAAATCACAAATAAATAATACAGATACATTATCAACCAAGTGCTAACCCCATACTAGAATATCTAATCCAGGACACAATCTTATTCCAACAAAAATGTAATATACAGTAATTAACAGCAAAATCATAGTACTCTTCAAATACAAATTAGCTCTCCAATAATGGCAATCAACAATGGAATTTATCTTCACACAGGATATAAAATCTTCAACATATATGACAGACAGGTCAAACTAATAACCACAAAATGGCTTCAGGATCTCAATGAGATAAATATCACCAGACAAATCACAAGAACAAGGTTACAGCACCTACAGAATTAGACATGGATTACCAAAGACATCCTGCATGCTAAATAAACTATCACAATGGCTTCACGTAAAAACCTAACAGCACAGATTCTAAACATATTAAAACTAAACAATTTTCAGATAAGAGTGATGGCAGTACACAAACTGACATCACCTCTATCTCGAAAAAACTGGACACTAATCGAAGAACACATAACATACGAATGGTATAACAAAAACAAAACCAACCTAAGAAAACACAACCTCTTCTACCTGGAACAAATAATAAACACCACCAACTCTCATTGCATTATATGAATATATTTCAAAACCAGGTCAGAAGCAAAATATATAGAACACAAATCCAACTGGTTTGAGGAGATTATCCAACAACAAGAATATAACAACATCTCCTTCCCTAGGATAACAATAAATATATTTGCCACCTGCAACCTGGCAAACCAAGAGAATATTCGAAAACACAGATATATCTCTACTATTATTAATCAAAGCATATATATAGAAAAGGTAAACAAACAGGCCAAGGTTTTGGAAAACTCATTCAAAGCACAGTACTTTACACAAATAGCAAATGACTTACCTATTGCAAAATGCAAAGGATGCAATATAAATACAGGAGAGAAAACAAATATATGCATCAGAAGAATACAACTGAAAGAGGTGATTACACTTCCAGTTAAAACAACAAAAACCAGTTCGAAACCTTTCAATCAGATAATAGGAAACCTTTCACAGATACAAACTTCACCAAACTTGATCAGACAGATACATACATGGAGCAATTTAACACCAGAGGAGGACAATGTAATCCATATAGAAATCAACAATAGCAGCAGCAAATCAACAACTAACACATTAAACCTGAAGATACTAAAACTGCAGAGGCCAATATAACAAGAACTAGAACATATTCAAAAACAAATACAAGGTTGAAAATTCACAAAGATATATACAGATAGATCCATGAAAAAATATAACAACAATTAAGTAAAAATGTGAGTAGGAGATATAATCATTAACAGGGAAACACTTGAAGAAATAGAATTCAAAGGCAGATGTGAAGGTTTTCCATTATCCACAAGAGCAGAGTTAACAGTATACATGTTACTGAAATTCGTAGATCCTTGACGCAATTGACGCAATTATTTGATGCAATTATTTGACGCAATTATTTGAGTCACTATTAAAACATATAAATAATTGAGTCATGACGCAATTATTTTTGAGAATTTTGGGAATTGAGTCAACAGCAAATAATTTATACCGCATGTATACTGTAGATAGTGTAATAGCTAGAATTGTTGTTAAAAAAAGCAAAATGATTAATGATAAATTTTATAGAAAACAAATTTTATCCAAAGTTTTTTTGAATTTTATGGAAAAAAAGAAAAGAAATACTATAAGAGATGTTATGTTGTACTATGACAATACTGTTCCACACAAGTCAGCAGTTGTTGCTGAATATCTTAGGGAGGAATGAGTCAAACTTCTTTCTCATCCTCCATATAGTCCAGATCTAGTTCCTTGTGATTTTTACTTATTTCCCAAAATCAAGAAAGAACTGGATAGAAGAAATTTTGATAATGTCAAAAACTTGTTATATGCTGTAATAGTGTAATGACAAGTCTGTCGCTAACTCTAGCAGAGATTTGCGTAACTATTATTGGATAAATAAATGAAAGAGTGATTTTAGGCATGTTTGTATTTGACCAAGTCTTTATTAATTTCTCACTTGTTCCTTTGTGTATCTCTTTTACTTCTCTATACTTTACATATTATTTATTAAGGTTTCAAAAAAGTACCGAACTGGTATCAAACTGGTATTGAAATGGTACTAATCTATAGTAAATTTAATATATGGGTTATGACTTATTTATATATTTTTATAGTAAATTTAAATATTGAACTAGTATCGAAATGGTATTGAAATGGTATTATTAGGAGCCCTACCATTTATACTTTACATTTGGCTATAACAGCTTAGAAATAATAATAATTGATGATACAGTGAATGACTAAAGCTAAATTACATAATTCTTTTCACAATCCTTCCTGTTTTTCCTTTATTACCTAATTATCATAGCTGACTTACCATTATCATGTCAATCGGTCATGTGACTAATGTTATGTTTCATTTCTCCCTGTTACAGTGCTATTCAAACAATTATTGAAAATATCTCTAAAGAGAAATATTACAATTTATTTGATTCATGACAGAATCGGCTGAAAAAATATATAGAGATAAAAAGAGAGTACTTTAAAAAAATATTATAATAATTTTGTAGATTATTTATTGGATTTGTTGAAATAAATTTAAATATGCAAGACTTTCCATATATAAATAATTAGATATGTCTTTAAACTATTTAATTTTAATGATTTGCATTATATTGATTTGAAATTTGTTTATTGGTTTGTCTTCATTTATTAATTGAAGTATTTTCTTTTCATGTTTTTTTTTTTTTTTTTTTTTATTTAATAAGCTTTACTCTAATTTATTAATTTTTGTTGTAAACAATATACATTGTATATTTCTGTTCACTAAAAATTATTACAATTAGAATTCACCCACAGGTATACCATTTGGATACATTTAAATCTTAATTTTATTTATAGAAAAACAATATATTCATATTTAAAAATTTTAATTATTAATGGATAAGCTATATTAAGAAGGTATATATTTTGCAAATATTTTATACTCGTAATGGTTTTTTATAAATAAATGAATAAATAATTTCAGCTTAATTACAAATTAAAATATATATATTAAAAAGTATAAAATAAAAATTATTTAGTAAAAATATAAATATATAAAATAAAAATTATTTATAAATATAAAAAATAAATAACTTGTATATATTATTAAATTTATAAATTTTATTATAATTAATATAATTATTTGATATAATTAATCAAATTATTATTAAAATATATAAAATAATTAAGTTAAATATAATTTTTTTAAGAATTTAAAAATTAAATTATAGTAAAATATTTTATATAAAATATAGAATATAAATATTAGTTTATATAAAAATAAATAAATCAATATTTATAATATTTAATACAATTCAAATATTTATAATATCTTTATTCTTTTAAAATTTATGTTAAAATACAGGAATAAAGTATTTTTATATAGTACAGTATATGAATTATAATTGAAAATTTATTTTTTATTAGTATATAAAATATTTTTAAAAATGCTTGTTATTTATTAACATTATATATTAAAATTTAATTAATAATTAAAATTTTTTATCAATTATTTTGTTAAAAATGCAAATGAAATGGAAATCCATATTTCAAAAATTAAAAAGTGAGCTTGCCCTAGATCATACGATTTCTAATAATCTAGAAAATGCTAGTGGTTTATGCCACGCACCAATAATTGACATATCTGATAATAAATCTAATACCGATATATATAATATCCTGCATAAGACTAATTTATTATCATTGATGCACTTCCACAGGAACGCCACACTTTAATTTCAACGCGGGAAGATTTCACGTGAGGGAACGTGATAACGGAGCGATAACACCTCCCTATGCGCGATTTAAAGTCAGACGTACCAGCAGAGATAAGGAAGAAAATTAAAATGGGTAAGAATATCAACGCACACGAACTTTCATTGAATTAAAAAACGAGGTTGAAAATGTATGCACATTTATTTGTTCTGTGCTTCTTAGTGCCGGTATATTGACCTGAAGTCTTGTGTTTAAGGGGTGATTGGGAGTCGCGAAAAGAGAATAATGTGAATGTAATTACTGTATAACCGTTAATATGGTAATTGATTAAATCAAGAATTTTCATAATTTGATACTTTTGGTACTGGATGTTCTCACATCATTACCTAGTAATGCTATCATCATTATCAATAATGCAAAACAAATAAATTAATTTATTTTTTTAAAAAAAAAAAAAATGTATACAGTCAACTTTCTCTAACTGCATATCACTGGAAGCACATGAAAATTTTAACAAAAATAAGCATTTAAAGGAATTATGTATACATAGAAGGTTTCTATATGATTTATATAAACTTAGGATTATGTATTTAAAGGAATTTATATATGCATGCATTTAGAAATGGTTCATTGTAATATATTTTTATTTCAATTTTATTTTAGAAAACTTTATTTTGTATATTTAAACAAATAACAATTAAGCATAAGTGATGAACAGTTTTTTTCAATTTTTTAATGTTACATGCTGTTTCAAAAAAATTATTTAGACTCGCATAAACAGTATATAAAAAACAGATGAGTCACGCACGATTCACGTAATAAATTATAAATCGAATAGGATCGAATGGGAACCTTAAAATGTAAATTTCTAATATATATAGCTTAATGTTTTTTAATTTTACGATTAATTTATTTAATTCCAAATAATAACAATTAATGGAAATGTAAATATTGTATCACATTCTCAAAAAGATAGATAATTGTGTTAAAGTTTATTTGAGTAAACAAAAATTTACTCGGTATACACAAAATTTGACAAATGCACTATACAAAATTAGAGGTCCAGAATTCACTTACGTGTACCTCATCTGAAACCAAACCATTTGCATTTGCATTTGCATTTATGACATTAAGGTAATTTCGTAGCGTAATAGTGTAACGTGGTTGCTTTTCGGGAATACAGAGTGCTTATTATTACAATTGATCAAATGTGTCATGTAATGAAATAAAATAAATAAAAATCTTGGTTGACAAACTTATAATTCAATGGCATACTTTTTTATCCTTTTTTTCTTCTTCACACCCTCAGCTTGTGTCATGTCACAGTACACATTCCGGATTATCACTAGAGTTCAGAAGTGTAGCCCCTTTCCCGATAATTATTTACCTAGCATTTACGTACGTACGTGTGCACAAAAAATGTGGTAAAACGGTGGTATCTCGGAGTATTGGTAATACGTAGAAAAAAAATTCTTTTTCTCGTATTTAGCTTCTCAAAGAAAAGTGTGTTTTTTTGCCAACTTCGAACATCATCGGTTTCAACAACGATTATCTATATGTTCGTTCTCTGGGTTATCCGCATTGATCCATCTACTGATTTCTTGTCTATACAAATTAGGTTAACTCATCCTTAACCTGCAGGTCTTTGTATATAAAAAAAAACCAAGAAAATTTTTTCTCACCACCCAACCACCACTTAGAATTCGTCTCTCCATCTTCCCTCTCTTTCTTGGTGTATTTTGCTGACCTCACCAATATTTGCACGTGTAATATATATTAGTTTACTTTTAACACTATATATTACGCACGTATCTATATATATACTTTTTGCCACCTTTCTTCAAAATGCATCGTTTCAGAAAGAAAGTAGATTTGAAAAAACAACGTCTAAACCAGTTGAACGATTCGATCTCCGAAAATATAGAAGGCGATAATACTCAACCACCCTCCTCGTCGAATATCCCTTATACCGAACTACCCTCAGACTTTCGAACATCACTCATCCTACCTAAACTCACACAAAGGTTTAGCGTCTTACGTAGAGGCGAAATTATGTCAACGCCTGCTGCATTTACAACAAATACTACTTCCTCTGATAACATGGTTAAAAGCATTGTTGTAGAAAATGGTTCAAAAACTAATACTGGAACTGTTGCCAGTGCTTCGGTGGTAAAAGAAGAGATTAGTATTGCAAATAACAACAGTATAGGGAGTTTCCCTCGGCAACAACTATCATCAAACGGTGATTCTAATATGAATTCAGGTGGGTCAGTCGGTCGTTCTTGCTCGTTTGGAATTTTCAACGCGTGCTCTAATACTAATTTTTAAATCGAAAGGTCAATCACCGTTGAGTAACGTTTACGAGGATGATGTCTCAATGTCCAACTCTTTGTCTTCCTTATCTTCAACCCCTCCTACATCCATAAACACTAATTCCCTTGTAGTTAATGATGACATAAATATTTCGGAAATATCTAATGCAAGAAAATTTTATGGGGCTTCCGCAATTTCTAATGCTAATTATCGACCTTATCCAGAGCAAAATTCAGTTTATGATTCTTCACAACCATCAACTTCTTCACACCTATCACCTGTGTTCAAGATTGCCAGTGAATCAATTGTCCAGAATGTAAATAATGACGAGAAAAATAATAATAGTAACAACTATAATAATTCAATAAACAGCGTGATCACGGATTTATCGACAACGTCGGACGTAAAGAGTCCCACTAAGTTCAATTATAATAATATTGATGAAAAAATGTCCACGTTGGGTGATCAAAAAAAGAACCATCCAAAGTTACGTTCCCCTCCTGTATTTCAAAATACCGGTGAGCACACGTGGTCAAAGGCGTATTCTTCTTCAACGATATCGTCCAGCGATCACGAGAATTTACAATCACATGATTCACTGACAAAATTTCTTACAAATGGTGATGGCATTCGTCCTCCTCCTTCTCCCCGTTCCCCGTTGGATCAATTGTCGGATGGCCTCATGAATCTTTCATTACATTCAATGGTCGATTCATCCTCGGTCACCACCATTGGTGACGAAGATTCTTCCCTTTCTAATAATAATTTATCCAAAAATTCTTTGTTTCGTAGATCTGTGGCCATGGATGAACCCGTTAACGTTCAATTCGTTCCCGTCCTTGAAGAAAATCAACAGCCCAATCTCAACTTCGCTCCCGAAGTTCCTTCAACACAGAAAACCATCACCGCAAATAATGCTATGAATTCAAAGATCACCAGAAAATTGGTTCATTCAAAGTCACTATCTTCAATATACTCGGTAGACCGTGATTCTTCTTCGCCATCAACAGTCCACTCACCACTGCGTGTGATGAATTTAAGAAATAGCAACAGTAGTGGTGGCACTTTTGGAACGTCATTTAGCAGTTCGCCTCTGACGCCCGATAAGAGTTATGATGGTGATTATGAGGTGGATGATAATGTTCTGCAGTCACCTGGGAAAGTTCATCCAACTCCTTTCCCTCGTCATAGGGAGGGCAATGCGCGAAACGTCAGAGAATCTTCAGAAGTCATGAGTCAATACAGTGTGTCTTCTGCTGAAACTCAGGCTGCAAACGTGGTAATTGAGACGCCGATCAAACGTCCATTACGTAACGCCGTGGCACCACCAAAGCCTCAACCGCCACCATTGTCATTAACCGATACTTTGATAGCATCAGGACAATCGGACATTGCTCATCAGGTGATGGTAATGAGAAGGGCTCAGAATTCTGGCCATAACAGTTCTAATTTAATTCCAAAAAATTCTTCGTCCAAACGATCAAAGCAAAAAAAAAATCCTGTCTTAAAGAACATTTCGAGCCCTCAATTAGTATCCACTTCGTCAAATGTCAAGGCCGTTCCCATAGTGACCATAGGGAACGAGGAAGAAAAGAACGGCAAATTTCGTAGAAAGTTTTCATTACGTGACAACGAAGGCGGACTTGGAAAATCGTTGAAAAGGATCAAAGATGCGTTTACTAATGATAACGAGGTAAACAGGACAAGTATCTTCGGAAAGAAACCAAAAAATATCGGAAAATTGTCGCCAAATTCTTCTACCGAGAGATTACCAAAGAAATTTGTTTCAGAGGAAGATTTGAATCAACTGTATATAAAAGACAAGAAAGGAATGAATTTTGTGAAACGGCGAGCATTTAGCACTCGTGAGCACAGGCCAAATGAATCTCTTCGACAAGATATTCGTAATAATTTTACGTTTATTATGGACGAAAGATCCCTTCATAATTCAGGATACAGTGATGAACTTGTTATGGATAACAACAGCGTTCGTAATAATATACATAATTTCAACACTTCTTCGGAGGAAAATGTTTCTACAGCCGGTAGCTATTGGAATATGGCAAGTGACTCTGATATTATTGAAGATCCTAACCCAAAGAAAGTTGCAGGTGGACGACAACCATTGTACGATATCGATGCCTTGAAAAGACATGCAGAAATGGTGACCGGGTATTCGAGTAACAAGAGGGATCAAAATTCCTCACGTCTGGACTCGCATTTAGTGCGCACATCTTCACTATCAACATCTGGTGGATCACTTTCTGGTCGTGACTCTTCCTCAACGTCTAATTCCATAGATAGGAACCGATCCCGAGATCTCCTTATGAGCGGAATCCGAGAAGAAGAAATTGATCAATCCAATTCTGACCGTTTATCGTATGACCCGCAAATTCCTACACCAAAACTTAAAGTAGACATACCAACAGAATCTGCGCAATCGATACAGTCGCCACCTACGCAATCCGAGAACAGCGATAACAAATGGGGAATAATGGGTTCGGAAAGTAATCCAACTAGTCCTCTATCCCCATACAGTCCAATAAGTGCAACCTCCAACTCTCCACCACCGATATTACCGCGAAATCCATTGAGAAATTTAAATTCCGACAAGAATCGACCATTCTTTAATCGAACTATGCCCTTGAACAGAAATGGTTCTTTAGGAAGTGTTGGTACCTCGGGAAGCGACGATAGAAGGGATTCAAAGGATTCTAAAACCTCCTCATCATCAAGATTGATGTCACTCTTTAACAGTTATAGTAGCAGTCGAAGCAGTAAAAGCAGTAAAAGCAGTAGAAATAGTAAGAATAGTGAGGTAAATTATTTACAGGTGCCTTCTTCGCATACCTCAATGACTGAGGACACCATGCAACAAGAAGATGAATCTACCGCCGCCACATCGAAGAAACAAAATAGAGTAGTACGTCGAACCATTATTATAACGAAACCAAATCTTCCAACGTTGCCTGAAGTAGAGCCTTCAGGGATCGACGTTCCCTCATCACCGAGCACTAAAAGTCTAGATAATAAACCAACTGAAACAAATCCTGAGGGCGATGCTCGCCTCTCATCGGACGGGCGAAATCGGTTCCTTTTCAAAAAACGCCATAGCAACGGTAGTTCTGCCGACAAAGATCGAGCATCAATGCGGAGCAACCCTGATGATTCCAATGTTTCTATGAACAAATCGAGTGATTCAGTTGAAACAAGAGACACAAATAATCACTTAAGCGTCCCGTCGGAAAGAACTTCTTGGAATAGACCACCAACACCAATTCCACCACTGAGTGCGCGCGAATCCATAGTAGAACCTCCATATGGAATACCTATACCACCTATACCTTTACCGCATCGACAAAGTGTAGCATCAAAACGTGCAAGCAGGTCGAGTACTATCTCTGCACATTCGACGTCAAGCAAATATCGAAAATCTATAGGCGGGAAAAGTATTCAAAGCTCGTATGGAGAAAGTTTATACGACTATTATAACTATTCCGATGCGGAAGGCGCGGACGACGAAGGAGAAGAGGACAAGAATATCAAACGAAAAACTGGCGTCGTAGATTCATCACAATGGAGTGCCATTCGGGATAAAGAGTTTGATAATGAAGATTTTGCAACCGAAACGGGCAGTGTCATCGCTTCGGAACAACAACTTGTGGAGGTTTTAGAGATGGACGATGGATCATTCGTTTGGCAGGTGGTAGAAATGGATGATCGATTCAGTCATTATTATGATGGTGGCAGCGATGACGATGGTCAGTTGTGGTCAAGAGATCTTTATAGTGAGGAAGATTTGAATGACGATGACGAAAGGTCAGGTCACATGGATTACCTTACATACGGTGGAGTGCTACCAAGTCCATTACATCTACCCGGAGCGTTGCCAGATCGTAAATCATATATGTCAGAAATTAGTATGAATGAAGATGGATCAGTTCATGAGGAACAAATTTTCGTGCCGAGGACCAGTGTCTATTTCGCAAAGGATGTACCACTTGCAAAGTTGCTTGAGGAGATGTCACGTGGATTGGGAGGCATGGAAAATGATTATTTGTATGATGGGGAGATGGAAATGGGAGGTATAGGTTTTTTGGGCGATTTGACTGTGGAAGAAAAATTGGAACAAGTGATGAAAACCCTGGGGGTTAATGATCGGGATGTGTTATATTGATGATATTGAATTCATTCACTCTTTTATTAATTTATTGCCGCAAACAATCATTCCTTTATTTATTCGTCACTCTTTTTGATTAATTCATTCGAACATTGACTGTATAGATATCATATATTATTACCCTGCAGCGAATATTGATTATTTACATTATTTCATATTTCTTGTATACTAATATTACAATTTTTTCAATAACATTAATTCTTTCATATAGCATGCATCTTTTCACTGATCAAAAAAAAAAATCTCAAAACTATTATAATCTCATAGTCAAAAAAAATTTTTTTTCCACTATAAATTTTCGCATATATGCAAATAAAAATTATTAGAAAAGTCTTGTGGTTAAAATCAATTTTCAAAAGGGGAATTAGTTTATCAACTTTAAAGTATTTTAAAATTTTTAACTCTTAATTATGTGCTATTGAATTGAAACCAAAAAAAAAAAATAATTTATAATTTATAATAATTTAAAATAAAATATAAATAATTGTTTATTAGATAATATATATGAAATTCGATATTGTATCGAAAAAAGTAATTGATTCAATTAATAAAGCAATTGATATTATTGATTACAGTAAAAACAAATATATTGTATTTGAGATTCAAAATCATACTTTCTTGATTTGATTAATTGATAATAGCTTATTATGTTATACGAATAATTCTTTTTGAACATAAATTAAAAATTTTTTAGGGATCAAATTATTCTTATTATTTATAATAACTAGCATATTTCTGGTTTATAATATAAAACTATTTTAGCTATTTAAAAAATTTATTATTTAGTTAGGCTGCATAAAGATGGAACCTTTGGTCTTTCTGATAATCATGGGCTGAAAACAGGTAGAAGCATGGAAGGTTGCATGAGAAAAGACTTTTGGTCTAACTTTAGTAAAAGTCCACTTTAACCCAAACTGGTGATAGCAGACTCCATCACACAATCTCAAAAAAAAAGATTAATTTTAAACCATTCTATCCCAATCTGAAGCTTTTAGATCTATTCCAATGGTGGCATTCTACAGAACTTAATCATATAACCAAAGGACAAGGTATCAGTCATAGGTAATAAGAATACTAGACAAAAATCCTTAAGCCAAGTGTGTCTAGTGAGAATCTATAAAATTAAATCAGAATCCAAGCAAGGACACCAGTTCCACAGGTGGTGAAAATGGTAGTATTACGTTACACTAGTGGTATATTCCAAGGATCAGTAATAATAGTAACTGGAATACTGGAGTTAATCTCTATAATAATATTCCATAATGTGCCTTATTCATGATGGATGCAGTCGCGACAGGATCTAGTAGGAAGGTGGTTTAAACTAACAGTAAGATTTCCACCCCCTATGTAAGTCCCACCTGACATGTGGATCATCTACTTGATGTTTAAAATTTCGTATAGCTGGATATGTCATAATTGATTTAGAAGACACTGGGGTTACTGGAAACGGTGATTATCAGGTATTAATTTGTATTTTGGATAGCAATAACCTACTTTGTAAAGATATTTGATGTAATGATAATAAAACATATGTTTAATAAATGTTTCGCATCTAATGCCCTTAACCAATTAAAAAAAAAAAAATTTTATTATATAATTTAGTTTTACTTTTTTATTTTTATTTTTATTTTTTTTTTAAGGCGCAAGTGCGGTGACCGCTTCTTCTTTATTGATAAATTCCTTATACCAATTTTACAGTTGCAGTTAAGGACTCATACAA